GATGATAGTAAGACGTTGTTCATCTGCAATACTGAAAAATTCCATGCATTCGGTGGATTTCGTATGCATTTCCAGCTGTCTCTTGTTTTGATGCAATCATTTTCTTAATTAATATGCCGTCCGTCACTTGTCGCACGTCGGTCACTGATGAGTCCGATAGTCCGTTGAACGGTAGTCCGTTGAACCTCGCAGTACGGACTGACGAATTGATTTTTGCTACGCTGCCTCGTTCTACTGCGCGACCGACTGACCGCATAAGCGATCGATTGACCGACCGACCGGCCGGCCGAGCAGCATAACCGACAGATGTTCGTTCCGTTCGTGCTTTCGTTAAACTTTTGCTGCTGAGCTGCGGTTGTGGCGGTGGCGGTGGCGCAAACCGCGAAACTTAGCTAAAGCGAAAGTTTTAGCAAAAGTTCAGTTCCAGATTTAGTGCCACTTTGTCCATCCGTGCACCTTGCCACCCGATGAACGACATGCTGCTACCATGACGTGCATCGACGCCCGTCAACGATGGAGCTGGTGGTCGCCGTAGCCGTCAGCGTGCTGACGATTATCTTCCTCGGTTCGATCATCGCGCTGATCCTGATCTGCCGTCAGCGACTGTGCAACCACGACATGGACACGAAGCCGATCCTGAAGTACTCGAAGGACGAGCTGGTGACAACCGCGTCTGGCAGTGACGACGAGTTCCGCATCGAAGAGGTGACTCAGCTGAGTCCGAATATAGGTATAAATCATGTGTTTTGTTCTAACGTTGACGGACGTCCGCGAGGGTCGTAAATCAGTCGATCGCACTAAAGTCTCCGTGAAACATGTGCACCCATCACTGTAGGCCGATCGCATCCTGACTCGAAGATAGACGAATAATCCTAAGCTGCATGTGCGAATTGCAGATTCATAATTATTACTAAGCTTAACTTAAGTCTGATCGCTTTGTCGTTTATTCTGCAGTTAACTGTCAGCAACCAGCAACAGGTGACATTTCCAAAAGATGCAGGTTTCTACATAGCATGGGCGTGGTACACAAACACGCGAAAGTGATTATATGCATATGATCTCATTTCTAACTGGTTGAAAATGACCTCGTGGGAATTTTCGTTACTCTGTAAAGAAATAATATGCTCGAACGGCGATACAGCTTGATTCTGACTGGGATTGCGTTAAAGTTGCTGAAATACCAGAATGTATGAAACAGACGTTCAAAATTTCCTATGTAAGGTATGATTGCAGTTTTTAAAATTGATTGGGATATCTTAAAAGAAGTCTGGAATGTGGAGTTTGCAGTTCGGGCGACTAGTGGATACCCATAAATTCTGCTAATGGCGGTGATCCTACAATCGGTCGACGAAGTACGTTGAAAACTTTCTTTGATAAGTCACAGTGGATGACACGACTAGTACATATGATTATATACGGGATCCAGTTGTTAATGTTTTAACTCAGCGGCGTATTTGTATGCAGTTTCCGCTGTAATGTGATGAATATGGGTAGTGTTTCTCGGGCCGTTTTTGCACTGATCCACTTTTAGCGATCACGCTGATTCAACTACCTCCAAAAACAGTTGCGTCTGTATTTTGCTAAATGTTTCTGTAGTTTGTGATGAAAGCTCAATATGCAGGTTAAGTGTAAAATAATGAATGATCGTGCACAGAGAGGTACGGTCGGGAAGTCATTCCGGTTTACTTTCAAATCGTTACATAATATATTATTTGGACTGAATTTACGTCAGTTTTAATCAGATTTTAAGTACGATGACATCATCATGCAGAGATAGACTATTTTAAGGCTAGAGCAGCATAAAAACATTTTGTTTTGAACAGCAGCAGACGATAACCATCACCTTCCTTACCATGAAGAACACCAATAAGATGCTGATCGAAACAACGACATCTACTCACACAGGACAGTGTCATTGTTATTGTGTTATTTCATTTAAAATCGGAATGGGCCACGAACAGCACGCTGCTCGACTCCCCCATCGCATCCCAGTTACGTACGCGAAATTGTCCGCTTCTCCACGGCTTTTCACTACCTGACTGAAAATGATGTTCACCTGAACAGACTGGAAGGGAGGAACGAATGAACATCAACGGAGAACAACGAAGTTATACAGACTGAGTGATGGTGTTATTTTCATTGTAGAACGTACCATTCGACTACAAGAAGTGCTTAAGGAACTCAACAATGAAATTGCAAAAT